GCTCCGCCCGCCGCCCTGCCCAAGATTGGCCTCCCTCGCTGCCCTTGCCACTGTATGGGCCTTGGCGTTGTCCACCTTTACTTTCTCAGCTGCCTCTTTCTCTTCGTCGTCCTTCCTGGCCTTAGCAAGGTGTCCTTCGGCGGACAGGAGACCGCCCTCGGGCTTCTCCCCGCCCACCCGAACGGTCGCGAAAGACTTGGAGCGCTTGGTGAGGCGGGCGAGCCCGCCGAGGAACACGGTGTTCACGCGGAGCTCCTCGATCATCACGTTTCAGCTCCAGGAGGGCAGCGTGGCCGAGATCTTCTTCGAGCTGCTTNGGAGCGCTTAGTGAGGCGGGCGAGCCCGCCGAGGAACACGGTGTTCATGCAGAGCTCCTCGATCATCACTCCCTGTCGTTTCAGCTCCAGGAGGGCAGCGTGGCCGAGATCTTCTTCGAGCTGCTTCATGGAGGCAACGACGGCGAGGTCTTCAGGGATAAGGCTGTCATTCTCCCGTTGCTTCCCCTTGCTGTGTAGTCGGTTGATGGCCTTCTCCATGTTCACCGGCCACAAGCCCGCCCCTTTGAACGCCGCCATGTCGCAAGCGTGAAGCTCCCTCTCCATGCCTCCGCAATCACGCCAGTCATGTCGCGCTTCACCGGACTCCTCCCCCCGATTTTCAGTGGGTAGGCCGTGAGCACCCTGGTGAGCTCCTTCTTGAAGGTACCGCACGTACCAACGTTCAAGGGCTGGGTGATGTGCGATGTGTGGGACGGGAGCTGGAAGAGGTCGATGTCCAGAGAGATGACCAAGCTGACGGCGTCGAAGGTCGTGTGAGAGGCGTGGTCGTCGAGCACAAGGGCAACTTTTCCNACCGCACGTACCAACGTTCAAGGGCTGGGTGATGTGCGATGTGTGGGACGGGAGCTGGAAGAGGTCGATGTCCAGAGAGATGACCAAGCTGACGGCGTCGAAGGTCGTGTGAGAGGCGTGGCCGTCGAGCACAAGGGCAACTTTTCCCTGCAAGCCGCGTGCATCGAGCTGTTCGCGGAGGTCTCGAAGGTAGTCGAGGAACACGTCGCTCTGGATGAAGGACGACTCCGTGACGGTGTACTTCGCATCGGGGACGCCGTTCTTGTCCTGGATACAAGCGGGATGCATACGCTGGCCTTGGTAGATGATGATAGGGTTGTAGCTCTGGCCGTCGGCGCCAATGCAGGCGACCACCGTCGCATTTTCTCGCGAGTTGGAGCGCCTCGCGCCGGGCACCTTGGTGCCTGTTGGCACGATAGCCTTCCCTGACCTTGTACCTTGCGGGGTGGAACCTACAACACACACCGGAGAACGCGCGTGCATCGGGGGTGGAGGCAGTCGAACAATCAGTAAAGTACATACAATTTCGAAGCAGCAGCGCTTTACACACGCACATGAGCGCAGCTCGCACCGGGCGGTGGCACACAGCGGTGGTGACGGGACCATTTTTTTTTCAACAGCAGTCGGATTCGTCTAGACTTTGGGTGTGGATCAACATCCGCACACCCATGAAGTTTACATTGAGCTCAAAACCAAGGTGGGTTTACAAAAGCAAAGCGTCCTACTGAAGTCTCGACTTNTACAATTTCGAAGCAGCAGCGCTTTACACACGCACATGAGCGCAGCTCGCACCGGGCGGTGGCACACANTGACCTTGTACCTTGCGGGGTGGAACCTACAACACACACCGGAGAACGCGCGTGCATCGGGGGTGGAGGCAGTCGAACTATCAGTAAAGTACACATAATTTCGCCGCAGCAGCGCTAGCACACACAAAAAAGCACGCTTTCACACGCACATGAGCGCAGCTCGCACCGGGCGGTGGGTTACAGCGGTGGTGACGGGACCATTTTGTTTTTCAACAGCAGTCGGATTCGTTTAGACTTTGGGCGCGGATCAACAACCCCACACCCATGAAAGTTTACATTGAGCTTGAAACCAAGGTGGGTTTACAAGAGCAAAGCGTCNTAAACACCGTGTAGAATGTCGTACATAAGCCCTACCATTTCTGTGCTAGAGTATAACTGAGATGACCACAGGGATTGTTGCATGCTGAACCCTCAACCGGATCCAGCATCATATGCGCGTTGTGTGCTACAAGCATGGCAAGCAGCAGCGACCTCGGAAAGATATGCGGAACAACTTTTTTTTTTTTTTGCAGCAGCAGCAGCAGAACTCCGCTTTGTTGTGACACACATCACACGTCGCAGTGCTGCTGGTACTTCGCCTACGAACCCACAGCAGTCGATACTGACACCACTGACACCCCAGCCTTCTCCCTAACTCACTTGTCTCGTCCGTGTTGATGATGCGGCCCGGCGTGAGCTTGGTCTCCGCGAGGTAGATCTACGCTTCTCATGTCTCGTAGAAGGCTTCAAGGCGAGGCTCTTCGTCTTCGTTGATCCGGTTTGCTTTGTAGATGTGGGTGCCTCGCTCCGACAACCCCGGGTGCCTCGCTATGAACCCCTCAAGCCAGCTGTCCCCCGGGCCCTTGTCTGGGTCCCAGCGGACCTTGCGTCCGTCTATGTAGACTAGATCTTCCGCACAGCTTCATTCAGCGTCCTCCGACCCAACAGCAAGAAGTGTCGGGAGGCGTAGATCAACACATCTTCGACGAAATTTTCCTCCTCCTTGCATAGGACAGTCCCGGGACCAACCCTCGCATCTATGGCCACCTTCTCCTTCACACGGCGGTGGAGCGAGGTCGGGTTCAACCCGTAGGTGTCCGCAGCAACCCTAAACGACTCACCGCTGCGTACTGCATCGACAGCCTTCTGGGCCCGCTCTGGGTCTACTCTCGCCCGTCCCATGCTTAGCAGCAGGATTTCAGCAAGGGAAAAGATGGCCCACATCAGGGGTGTGGGTGGGGGCTGTGCTGTAGCTCGGCAGTGCTTGACCCGATCGGCACGCTGAATTGCTCAAACGAGAGCGAACGGAGAGCTAACAGTGTTATTGGGTTCAGTTTTTTTTTTTTTTCTTGGACACTTCCTTTTTCACCACGGGATGGTCACGAGCCGGGTGGCGTCGAAGAAAGGGCGATCCGCTAGAAGATGAACTGTTGTAGGGTAGAGTAGAAGAAACGAGGTGAATCGATTCACGAGGCCGGGTGTATGGACGATGGGGGCGGCTGAAAAAGTACGGCGGGCACTCGCAGATGGTATCCCGTCGATTTGTGCGACCCCCCCATAAAACCCCGCCGGGCAGGCCACAGCAGGCTGCATGTTCACAGAGCCGTAGGAGCCTCGCCATGGACACCAGACAGAACTGAACCTCGGTATACTGTTGTGCTACTTATGGTAGAGCTGTCGGTGCAAGTTTTGGGCGTTTGGCAGCTTTCTGTGCGAAGAACCGAATCTGCCTCGCGTCAG